GACTCTCCTGATTTTTTGAGCATTTATTGAATTTTTTTATTTATCCACGGGGCATGATTTATTATTTACGGAAATATGGTGGACGCGTGGGAATTAAAACGAGAGCACAGTAAGGGATTTTACAAAATTAATCTCTGCTCATTGCTGATTCATATTTCATCGTACTACTATTATAGTCTTGATACTTTTAGAAATTTTTACACCTAAACACAGTCAAACTTTTCTAGACGCAAAGTATACTTTATCGCGATTCTAACGAAACAGCAATTTTTTTTTTCTAACACTAATTTTATTTGAAACTAGTGCATATAAAAATACGGTGGTCGTAGAGTTAATTACGTTCCCAGAAACGCGAAATCGTTCCACTTTAGAATCTTGTACGCATTTCTGAAAAATAGCAATTAAAATAGCTGCTCCGTACCGGAAATTAAACCGAATCACGTTTAAATGCGTCGACGGCAGTATCTTCGTAATTGCTATTCTCGAAAAAATACGAATGGTGTGAAAAAAAAAATAATTTCGTAATTTCACTCGTTTTTTTTTTTTTTGCCAAGATCCACTCCGGTTCTCGTTTATATCGCGATCCCGTCATACGCTGTCGCGTCCAGCGATAAAGTTGAGTACGATCGAAATAATTCGATTTGTTCCAGTTTTTTCCGGGCAAAGTGATACGTTCAAACGCGTGTAATTGATTCGCGTGTATGCACGGAACTAGAGGGTTACATCGGCGCCGTTCGATTCTTTAACGATCGCCGGATCGATCAAAGCTCTTGTCATACGAGACGCGAGTGAAATCCGTCATTGGGACGTTCATTGATTCCGCGGTGATCGTCGGGCCGAGTAATTGAACCGCGTCGATAGATGAGATATGACGTGTTCGACGTGTCTGTGATTAAAAGATAGCCCCGTCCGCCTGTTTGGAATTCCGTTTCTGGGAAAATGATTTCATTGGCCCGCCACTTCCACGGCCCCCGAACTCTGTCATTTCCCCATTCTTTGCCTCTTATTCAGAAAAAAGTCGTTCGATAACAGTATAGGCGAAACTCGGACGATTTCCTGGTACCAATCGTCTCTTTTTTCTTTCTGGTCTTTTTTAAATATAGCACGTTTGCGTTATTATCGTGTCATCCACATTTTTGTATATTTCGAAGCAGTAAATAGAAATTTTAAATAATTAATGTCGAAATATGATGAACGATTTCAAACAAAATTTCATTCATGTCTTTTGTAGATACAAAAAGATAGGTTACAAAATCTAGTTTTTTTAATATTACACAATCGTAACAACAAAAATGTACTGTACATAGAATAAAAATATCTGAATAGTTAGTAGTTAGTACCTTTTTTTTATGAAAAGATCAAAAATATTTTTGGCATATTATCGATTAAATTTTTACAAATTTCTTCGTCGATTTCATTGCACGTGGTAATTGTGGCATTCTTTAATTCTGCAATGTTTACGAATTTGTCATTTCTAAAATATATTAAAAAATAGTAAGAAAGTTTCACAAATCTCGTAATATTGACTTTTCTGTATACATTATCGATGTATAATTAATTTTTATAATTATGCAATGATATATTCTTCGTATACGATGTCACCTTAACCTTTATATAAAATATCATCACCATACCATTCTAGGGTTAATTATTGATTTTTGTTCAGTAGCTTGAACAATTTTTTCCGCGAAAATAATCAAGGGTTATTTATTTTAGAAGGTACTAAGTATATTAAATAAATTTCTTTCGCACGATATGTTGCCAATTAAATCATATAAATAGCGAATATACGAACTATTTCAAGTAACATATTTATATTCTCATTTAGATAAAATAGGTATTGTTTTGTAATTGAAAAAGAAACTTCATGTACAGTACATAGTTCCTGGATCTATAATCTAGGATCGTATGATCTAGGACGTCGGAAAATCGGAGAATTTTTTTCACGTTAGGGCAACAGGTAGGTTATAAATATATATTGATATCGTTTCGAGGACATTTAGATAATAAATATCGTGAACGTTTGTTGAATTTTTAGTAGAAGCGTATATAAAAAGAATACAATGGTTGAGCTCATTAGTGTTTCATAAATTTTAAATAATGAGATAATAGGAAGGAGTAGGATAATAAGGTATGAGGTTAAGTTTATATTTATTCGTAGTGGAATATTTTATTCCAGAACTGAAATTTTAATTTATATTTAACGAGTAACGAATGTATATGTGTAAGCATTTATTGTTCGTTATTTACCATTTGTATCTAGATACAAAATTTGTATTTTACCACAAAAATATTAAAAATACCAGAATCTCTATTATTGAATTAAAAAAAGCAACGTTTTGTTTCGAAAGAAATTAAAATTTCCATTTACTTTGTCGTTATACGTTCACAGCTGCACGTAAACTAATCGACAGAGCAAATAGGAATAGTTTGGATCACACACGATGATGTTAGTTAGCAAATCAACATTAATCAAATTATATCGTAATTAGTCGTGCCACGAAATTACACGAGTTTCGCAATATTTTCGAGTAAAATGTAGAAAATTATCTGTCGCTGTTCAGTCGCGATCTTTTCGAAACGCGCTATTGTACCCCAGCACAAGCATATTTACAAAGTCTAAAAAAGACAAAAATATGGGGGAGTGGGAGAGGGGTGCACAATCTACACTGAAAGGGATCACCTCGAAGCTTACTCAGCGTTACACGAGTTTCAGTCGTTTTCAATTACCCTAAAAGTCAGCGTGGAATACGGTCTCGGCGGGAAAATGAAATTGCAGGTTTTTTTTTTTGTTGATATGAAAGCTCTGGAGGACCGTTATATCACGATCGTAAACCGCGTTGCTAGATGCGTGCGTCAAACCTCTCCACACTGACAACGATCTCGCGTTTGCAAAGTTGGTGATTCCGCATTGAATCGATCACTCTTTGCGGTCGATAGCAAGAAATCACTACAATTTAAACACGATCGAGTGTACGTAAAGTTAAGAGAAACGGGGTCTTTTGGTTATCGTTTCCACGATTTGGTTAAATTTTTCGATTTTTAAGAATATTATTTTTTGTATACTCCTTCATATATTCCTGCCCTCTGCTTCTTTACCATTCTCTTCTCATATTCTTCTCTATCACTAGACTGCGGATGTTTTTGTATTTATGGGAAATTTTAATTCTCAAGAAACTACAGAATGCATTTAATATGCAAAAATATAAAAAATACTTAAAGTATACACTTCAGCAGTGTGTTCTACAAGTAAAAATAAAACGGAAGTGTTATATAACAGAACATTTATAAATCTTTGTTAAGAAGTTATGACAAAAATATGAAATCTGATGAAAACGCTGTTGAGTATACCTATGTTTCCATTTCAAAGTGACGCCCGCCTTTGTTGAGACATTTTTGGCATCTACGTACTATTGAATTTATTGTTGACTTCGGTTAGTTGCGGTTTTGTCGAACCTCTTCACACGTAATATTGATTTTTGCAATTAATTTATCTCTGCATTGTAAATTTTCTATTTCAGAGTGCCCCTTAAGTTAAAATCTAAAGGGGTACGGTCAGGTGATCTAAGAGGCCAAGAAATTGGCTCCCCACGACCAATCCATTGTTGGGGATAGTGTCTATTAAGCCAATTTTTTATACGACTTTACCAAGTCTTTAACAATGTATATTTTTGTTATAACTTCTCAACAAAACGTTTATGAATATTTTGTTATACAAGGTGTTCGGCAATTCCTGGAAAAAATCTTAATGGGACGTTCTAGACGCCAAAATAAGACGAAAATCAAGATTATCAATTTGTTTATTGAGGCTTCGTTAAAAAGTTATTAAAAAATTAAATTAAAAAGTTTAAAATCATCCTGAAAAAATTATGTTTGGTCGCGGAGATCAATTTCAATCATTTTTGGTGAATAGATATACCCCCGAAATCCTACACACTTTTGAGAAAAAAATTCGAGTAGGTGGACAAATATTTCGACAAAATTAAAAAATTCCAAATCGTTCTAAAAAAATTATTTTTGATTGCAGGGGTCAATTACTATCATTTTTTGTGAATAGACATACCCCCGAATTCCTACGCACTTTCGAGAAAAAAATTCCTTAACCGAAAATCTAATGTCTGACCATACATTGACATGTTTCCCTGAAATTTCAAGCGAATCTTTAAAACGTCATAACTTCTGAACGGATTGGACGATCTTAATGTTTAAAAATGCAAACTACACGTATTTTGGTGAAGAATATGTGGGGATTCCAAAAATATTCGAAAAGTTATTCCTTGACCCTGCAAAATGAGAAAAACCCAACAAAAATGATCCAATTTTCAAACAGCCATAACTCCTACAATAGTGGAGATATTTCATTGAAATTTTGAGTGGAAGTAGAGTTCATAGGTATCCACAAAAAAGCATTATACAACTTTTCTGTAGGGTGTCAAACAAAATTACTAAAAATTGAAAACGAATTTTTAAGAAGAATCGACAAAGGGGGTTTTCGGCAAAATTGAAAAGTTTCAAATCACTCTGGAACAATTATTTTCAGGTATGAGGGTCAATTACCATCATTTTTGATAAATAGACACACCCCCGAAATTTTACTCAATTTCGAGATAAAAATTCGTGTAGGTGGACAAATTTGAATAATAATTTTATTAGTACGGAGCCTCAATCAACAAATTTGTATTCTTGTTTTTTGTCTTGTTTTGGCCTCTAGAATCTCCCATTAAAATTTTACTTGTAGAATACACTGCTGAAGTGTGCGGAAAAAATGCGGAACATCCTGTATTTAGGGGTTGAAACAACCTTCTACGAAGCTCTCGTTTTATTAATTTTATTAATGAAAATATAAATCGGTATAAGGATTTGCTCTATCCTCCCCTCCTCTTAATCTTCGCGGCGGAGAAACGGGAAATTGTTATCGTCATGGTCGAGTCTCCGGTCGGTCTTTCGTCGCTCGTGACGCACTCGTCTGCCAATCCGTCACGCGGGATGTTCGGTTGAAGGCACCGAGAAGATACAACCTCCTGGCTGGAGGTATTCGTCCCACGGTTCTCCTATGAGAACGCCAACGAGTTCTGGTCACGGCACCCCCCAGGACTCGCCCCACGTGGCCAGACATCGCAGAGACTCCGAGCACTCGTCCGGTATGGGATCGAGACGAGGTTCGTCGGACGTCGTTTCGCCTCTACCGGAAGGTCCCTCCGGATCCCCGGACGGTCGAGCACGTCGCCCGTCAGACTACAGTCCTCATCAGGGTAGGTCCTTCCTGCTCTTTCACCCTTATTTCGAGGATTTTCCACGACCGCGTGTCGCGTGACGCAATTGTTTGCACACTGGGTATATCCTTCTGTCAAACTCGACGGATGGGCTAATTCGAGAGAATGTTTGCGTGTTTCTGTTTATTCGCGCGACAACCTTTTCGGTATTTCAACCACGTCGTTTGTCAAACGATGCTTTTGGTCTTGTCTGACAACAAAAACTTTTTACAGGATTCCTAATGGGCACTGGGGTTAAAAATTCACTCCAAATTTTACTGTCTTAATTTTTCTGTAAACTTGTCTTTTGAAGGGAACTTTTGCAAGATGAACAATAATGATATAATTATAGTGTGTGTTTAACTTATAAAAAGAGATTTATACTGTGCATGCTTTTATTTAGAATATGTTTGCACAAACACTGGACCCACTATGTTTCGTGCAATTATGTTTGTAATTTTTAAAGATTTTTCGAAACTAGAAGAAAAGCGTTCTTCGCCTTTTACTGATATTGTATGAATTTACCTTCATATCTGGAAAGAGAAATTGTCACAGAATTCGTACCACAATTCTGGGTTTCCCCTTTGGATAACGTATGGTGGCTAAAGTCTGAGGAGTGTCGCATTATGACCACGAGGGCCTTGGAGGCAATATTTCTGACGTTCTGATAGTGTGGTGCGAAATATGTGACGTGAAAATGGCCCCGAAATCGTGTGTTTTGCTACGCTCCGTATGTGTGATTTCGTTGATAGAATAGGGGAACTCAATAGGGGATCCCTTACGATTGAATCGCTATTGTCCAATTTACTGAATTTTGGTCAATCACCCTGTGATACATTCTTAAATCGCCTACGTCTCTTTGTAAACAAATTAAATAGTATAAACAAAGTAAAACTTCCAAACGAACCTCGTGGGACATTCGATACAGTAGTAACTGAATTGGAGCAGCTATCATCGAACTTTACCAGACATCCGTCAAACGTTAAAATGTATAAAATTCTATTAAAAACATAGCGATGGTAAAATACAAACATCGTTGAAGTTGACGTAAAATGAAACTGTCGTTCGTTAATTATTATATTAATTAATATGACTTGCTCAATAACGTTACATTGGAATGAAAAATCTAAACTTTTGTAAAACTTCGAAGCATAAATCGTCAAAGAATGTTTTTTCTATTTATCGTGTCAATTATTAGTGGTAAATTTTATTCTGTTACGATGCTTTTAAGAATGTCTGGGGTAAAATTGTAGGCTTTTTCGGCTCGTGATTTGAAAATTATGTCGTCCCCCTGCGTGTTGTTAATTTATTTACCATTTTCCGGCCTCGGTAATTTCTCATCCCCGAACCAAGGGGAACAATTGCAATTTAGTTAATCACCAGGGACGTCTGGTCGGTCCGTATCATTCGTTCGGATGACATGCATGATTGAGCCGACCGCAAACGCGCCGGGTTGGCCGTCAGCCGTCGCGTATGAATTTTCCGCGGCGCATTGTAACCTCGCTCTTTGATCTGATTCAACGCGTCTATAGGAATTGGTGTTGCAGCGAAGCTGGGCAGGATGATATTCGATCTTCTGTTGCGATGTAACTGTTATCGCAGTGAATTGACGCGTTCCAGTGCAAATGTACGTTCGGTGTTAAGGAGTTACAGTTCTATCTCTTCTCCAAATAATAATATCCGTATATTGTAATAAGCTAAACTAAACTACTCGAGATTCCATATTCGATACTCTATCTTATTTATAATACAAGCAAAGTTTTACGAGCAAGTATCTAAGGAATTATTTTATTTGGACAGATACGATGTGAAATGTTGATCCTGAGGATGCATCACAAAGTGACGTTGCGATGATTTTGAGTTAGAAAATATTTACTCAAGAAACAGCAACTTGTGAGAAACTTTTTGACATATTAATTTATTATATATTTTAGTTTATTGCATAATAGAAGCAATAATATGTAAACATTGATTCACAAACCGATAACAAAAATGTATTTATTGAACAGTTTATGGGTGGATACTACATTTGTTATTGTTTTGTGATCACAGTATATATATTATTGCTTCTGTTATGTAACAAACTAAAATAGATAATAAATGAATATTCCAAAAAAGTTTTTTTTTTAAATCAATTTGTTTAGTAGTTATAAACATTTGCACCACAATAGCTCTGCCAATACTTATGCCCAATACTGTATTTGCTTTCCCCAACTCGTACAACATGAGACACTGAGAATGAACTCGCATTTCACTCGTGATTTTCCACGATATTCGATACCGAATAATAGAAATTTAGCTGACTGAGCTCAAGGTATCGTTAAAAGCGAGGAAAATATCGATTTGCAACTGAGTTACCGAGACACCCAGTATACGTTCCCTTCCCTCGAATATTTTTACTATCTAGTCAAACGAGCCTCGATCTCAAAAGTGCAAGAGTAATTCCATTGTATAACTTTGTAACCCGCGCTGGATACGTATCGACGAGGCTCGGTCTAGCTGACGGTCAAAGGAAATCTTTTGGCGCGATTTCGAGCGAACCGCGTGCACAATTTAATAGCTCGGCACTTTCCTTGAAATATTCATCGCATTTCGTTTCGAGGTTCCCTTTGAATTCTTAAATAAGAGCACGGGAACGATTTTCCAATCCTCGTTCCGGAGATCTTTTTCTAGCAGTCGTCACCACGGCCTCTCGGTGACATAGAAAGCAACGTTTCTGGAACGATGAAGGCGAAAAATACTGCCTCCGGATCATCCTGGACAGTTTTCTGTCCGGTGCAGCTTGGAAATACCGGTGGCAGCGTCGGAACGTTGCGCGATAAAGACCCGTGGAAAACTTTAAACGCTGACGAACGCTAATATCCACGTTCATTTTCGTAATGGAGCAAACACGCGTCGGCGAACAGAATACGAGGCATTAAATTGAAATAAAAATTAGCCTGCGCGACAGCGTAACGTTCGAGCTTGTGCGTCATGTAACTAAAAATATGTATTAATTAACCGTTGGATGATTCTACCATTATACGGGGTATTCGGCCATCCCTGGGGAAAATTTTAATGGAAGATTATAGAGGCCAAAATAAGACGTAAATCAAGAATATCAATTTCTTGACTGAGACTTCGTTAAAAAGTTATTACTAAAGAAAAATTATATTTAGTTACAAGGGTCAATTACAAGCAGTTTTGGCGAATAGACATACCCTCGAAATCCTACACACTTTCGAGAAAAAAATTCAGTAGGTGGACAAATTTTTTGGTGAAAAAAAAATTTCAAATCTTTCTGAAAAAATTATGTTTGGTTGCATAGGTCAATTACAATCACTTTTGGTCAATAGACGTATCCTCGAAATTCTAACCATTTTCGAGAAAAAAATTTGATGGATTTTAATGTTTCAAAATGCAAACTACGGCTATTTTGGTTAAGAATATGTGGAAATACCAAAAATATTCGAAAAATTATTCCTTGACTCCGTAAAATGCGAAAAACCCCATAAAACTAGTCCAATTTTCAAACGACCATAACTCCTACAATAGTGAATATATTTCATTGAAATTTTGGGTGGAAGTAGAGTTCATGGATACCTACAAAAAAGCATTACACAATTTTTCTATAGGGCGTCAAACAAAATTACTAAAAATCGTAAAGAAATTTTTAGGAAAAAATCGACAGGGGCCTAAATTATTCGGTGAATTTTGAAAGTTTCAAACCATTCTGGAAAAATTGTTTTCAGGTATGGGGGCCAATTACCATCATTTTTGGTGAATAGGCATACCCCCGAAATCTTATGCACTTTCGAGAAAAAAATTCGTGTAGGTGGACAAATTTGATTAATAATTTTTAACAATAATTTTAGTAGTTACTTCTTAACGGAGCCTCAATCAACAATTTGGTATTCTTGTTTTTCGTCTTATATTGGCCTCTAGATTGTCCCATTAAAATTTTTCCCAGGGATAACCGAACATCCTGTATAGCTATCTTCAACCTTACGCGATCAATTCGATCATATTCGAACGATAGAGAAAATGTATTTCGTAATGAAATTAAATCGCGTAGACGGCTGATCGGTTCTATTATTTAGACCCCAAGAAATCGAATTGCACTTCAAACTTTTATATAACGCGTGAAATACCAGTTTCGTGAAATGCTATGCGTTTGTTGCGAAGCAATTATTCGTCGACCAACCGTGTCAAGGTTAGAGATCTCAATTACGCGGTGGTCGCGTAATTAATTTCGTTCTCGATGACGGCAATTAAAAATCCGCCGCGGAAGGAACGTCATAACGCGTCAAAGGGACGAAAAGGAGATTTATGACAGCCATAGGGAAAGAAAAGGGGGAAAAGATCGTCCGGTTGAATGGCGCTTACGGAACCCGTCGCAGTCACGATTGAGAACACCGTTTATTCCACTGTCATTCACTCCATTGTTCGGTCGCATTCCGCAAAAACTATCTGCGTCCACGCTTCAAAGGGTTGAATGAGGGGTAGTGTAGCAGAGGGTAACGGGTGTCCGTGCGTAGAATCGTGCGCGGGGGTGTAAGCGAGGAGACGAGGGCGTCGTAACTCCGTAGCTACGATTGCATGCAAAGTCACCCTCCCCCCCTCCCCTCCCCCCTCCCACCCACTCGCGTGGCCTTGCTTTTCATAGTGGAGTGAGTTTATCACTGTCAGGCATGGTAACGAGATAGTAAACAGCGTCGCGGAGAACATCGAAACCGTCTGCGTGTTTTTCCTCTTCTCTCCGTCGTTCCGCCCGTGCTACGAGTATTTGCATCTAGATGAAATTTTCGTTGCATTTTTCCCCGACACCGTTCATTCATTTGGCCACGCTCCGTGACGACACCGCCGGTAATTCGTTTGTAAACTCGCTTAATCGATGGGGAACTTCGTACGGCATTGGTTTGCGTTGCTAAACTGGGTTTCAGCGATACGGTGTGTACGGAAGACTTTTTAACTGAAGATATACAGTTACTCCCACGCTCGTATTCGTACAACTATGATGC